AAAGGTAGAGGAGGAGGAGGAGGAGGAGGAGAATGACTATGAGCTACGTGAGAGGTAACTTTGTGATCTCTACCTTCGATCTAAAATTAAGAGAGGTAATTATGTTCTCATTTTTATCTTTGGTCTTTTTTTTTCTCACTTTCGTGTTGACATATTCATGTGTTGGGCCGAGTTTGGACCGGACTTTGCTTATGTATCAATATAATACTTTGAGGCCTAAACCCTGAACCTGGCTCGACCAGGCTTAGGTCTTAAGCCCGAGTCCAGCCATAATTTTGAAAACAATTTTTTTATTTTTCATTCAATAAAAAGGTTTTTTGATTATATTAAAGCCCTCAAAATCAAAATAATAATAGATATCACTATTACTTGAAAAGGAGAAGAGAAACAAAGAAAAAATATTGTATATATATATATATATATATATATATATATATATATATATATATATATATATATANTATATATATATATATATATATTAAACAAAGTATGTTTTTATTATATAAACATATATTATTAAGTCGGGCTTAGGTTCAAGCTGAGCTTTTTTTAGTAAGCCCAAGCTGATTCGAGGCCTTGTGTTTTAGGTTTGATCCCAAGCTCATGGGCCTAAAATAATGTCCAAGCCCAACTTAGAATATGCTGAGTTGGATTGGGCCATCGGGCTACCAGATCCATGAATAGATCTATGTTGCCCACATCATTAGAAAATATATCCTCTCCAGATCCATTAATTTACCTTCGTAAGGCTACAAATAAGTCGAATCAAATCCAATTATAATCTGTATTCAATCCATTAATAGTTGGATTCCGATATCTCTCTTGGGACCGGATTGATTCGATCCATTAGTTATGAAATATTATATACAATATGCTATCAGGCAAATTTCTTAAACTACCCCTAAGGTTTAGGAAATTGACTAACTATACCCCTATTGTTTTAGTATTATTCCCATTCTGTTTATGACAATTGATGTCTAACACTCTTTTACTATTTATGACAATTGATGTATAACTCCCTCTTCGTTAAGTATCCATCATAAATCGTTTACACGTGATTTCATGTGTTTGATTTAAGTTTAAATTATATAAAAAATACCCTTTGACTTGCCCTCAACAGTTCTAAGTCCATTTCTAGAAGTCAATTTAAAAATAGATAAAGGATAAAGGGGGCGGAGGAAGGAGGACCACCACATTCGAAAGTTGTAGCGGTGGCAGTGATTTAGTTCAAAGCTCACTAGATGATCTCATGCTCTATATCTGACTATTCTTGGGAGAAACCCTAAAGAAATGCCGGTGGTCGAGTTCATGGGTTGAATATGACTTGGTAGAGTCTTTTTGCTTTTCTGTAAAGCCTCTGCATTCCCAAAAGAGTTGCTATCAGTATCACCATTGGCATCCATCATGATTGTTGCATCTTATTAGGAGAAACAACTCTCCATGTGGGGCTTAGTTAGTTAGGCAATTACTCTGTTTTACAACTGGCATAGACAAGCTGCCATGTATCTATAAAATCTGATTGAATGAAAGCATTATTACCTTTTCTATTGCTCAAATAGAATTTAGATGGTATTAGAGCAGGGGAATCCTACCTCCTTTGCGTGCGAAGAAATCTCTTTGTAGTAAACTACGAAATCAATGGCGTCGAACGACATCTCCAACAATCCAACCAAAAGTGATGCAATAACAGATCTAGATTCTCCCTATTACTTGCAGCCTTCAGATAATCCAGGAGTTGTGCTCGTCTTAACCCCCCCCC